GCAGTTGGGGGCGGAAGCAAAGTTTCCCGTGGGGCGCAGGAGCGGGGTCCCGGGGTCTGGGCGAGTGGGGTACTGGGGGCGTCCCGGTGGGTCGAGTGCGCTTTCCGCGGAGTGCGGCGGGGGGAGGGATCCCCGCGTGCAGAGGAGCGGCGGAGCAGGAAGGAAACGGGACGCCGAGCCTCCCCCGGATGCCGCCGGCGCGGGATGGAGCCGGGGCCCCGGAGGAGCCGCGACCCGTAACCAGCAGGTGAATGATTAAAGCGGCCTCAGACCCAGGCAGCAGCGCGCCGGCCGGCCTTGACCTCGACCTCGGCTGTTCTTTGCAACAAGTGGAGGCACGGGCGCCCTCCTCCCAGCTGGAACGGATGTGCGGGAGGCATTAGCCTCTCTGAGCCCCAGGCCTCGTGGCCCCTTGCAGGTGTAAATGACAGAGATAATTATGTCTTGTTTGGGGGCCCGCCTGACTTTGCAAAGGTGCTTTCGCCACTCAGGTGCTTCTCGCTGGGCTCGGTTTTTAGCAGTCTCACCTCCTCCCACTACTTTAAATATCACTTTCCGGCTCTTTGTCTCTTTCTTGTTTGTCCTGAGCTACAGGCTGTGGTTCCAGCTTTCTCTCAGACCTCCTGACTCCCCGGAACTAGTGAACTGCTCTCCTCCTCCTCCTCTCAGGTCCTACACCCTGGTCATCTCTAGTGATCATCCTCCCCTGTGCCCCGCACGGTGGTCCCCTCACTTGCCAGTTCAGTCAGTTCCACATCTTGCAGTCCTCAGGTTTGTGTCCCTGTGTCTGCTCTGGCCAACTGAGTGAGATGCTGTGTTAGCACCTCTCCCTTTGGTGTCTCCCATGCTGTGCAGATTCCTTTTGAGGCCCTGCCTTGATCCCACAACATCCCTTTTTACAAACACCTGATGCTGCCCTTGATCTACCCAGAACAGTCCAAACTTCTTAGAAGCTTTCAAAGCTCTCTGCAAAGCTCAGAGCCATATCTTCAATTATCTCTCACCCACCTATATTCTAACCACACTGGAAACTCACTGTTTACAAATGTGCACCTGCTTTCCTGTGCCTTTTCCGCTTTCTCGCACCGTTTCTTTTTCTTTAACTCTCTCTCAAACTCCATTGGTTAAAATTACACCATCCCCCCCATCATTCAAGGAGGGATCTTAAGTCCTACGTGCTCCATGGAGACTGACTTCCCAGATGAGTCTAGCATTCTACCTGTCCTCATATGTACTTCCTGCTGTCTTGAGCAATACTGACCAGACTATTGATGTACTCCCTTTGCAAATGATACTGTGTGGATAAAGCAGATGGCTTAGCCCTACAGTGGAAGGTGGGAAGCCAAGTTGAAAGATGAGATTTGCCTAAGGCTTGCTATTTTTTAGTATAGGACCTGGTCTGGAATCTGACTTTGGGACAAATTTCTATATTTCTCCTACCCTCTCCTTTATCCAAAAGGAGCCAGATGAATTTTAACCAGTGCTGTGGATTCTGTGGCCTCTAGATTCTATACCGCTAGAGGACTTCCCTCTGAAAGTTTTCAGGTTTATAGGGAGTAGAGCATAGTGGATAAATACTATTTTGAGGCCAGAAAGCCCGTGTTCCTGTCCTGGCTCTGCTTCTGGCTATTTGTCAAGTCACTTTTCTGAGCCTCGGGTTTCTTCATTTGCAAAGGAGGGTAATGATAGGCCTTATCTCATATACCAATGAGTTGGTATATGGAAAATTCTTAGCTCCGCACTTGGCAGGGAGTGACCCCTCTGTGAATGATGGGCTCTTGTTAATAGGGTGCGGGCAGCTCCTGCTTCTAGGGAGCTTTGGGGTCCTGGTTTGTAGGATCACGTCGCTCACTGCCCATACATAACCTGCAGTATCGCCTTTCCCAGCAGGGTTCCTAAAATGCTTATTAAAATATAGACAGTTATCCTGCTTGCAGGGGCAAGGCCAAAGGTGGAGTCACTTTCTATTTGGGGGCACCCCAAGATGGAAGGTACTGGAAGGACCCTTCCTCTTACCTTCTTCAGTGGCTCATTTTGAAGTCCCTGTCTCTTGCTTTGTTCAGAAGAAGGAGGCCTCCCAGAGAGTGGCCTGCATCTATCTTGCCTGGATCATTCTGAGAGTGGACCTAGCTCTGAGTTAAGTTTCTTTGCTGAAGGGAGATTTTGGCTTTGGGGATGGGGCAGGCAAGGAGTGGGCTCATTATGGCTGCAAGTAGTCAGGAAGGGAACTGGGTTAGGGCGAACCTGGGTAAGGCTTGGATCAGAGAACTCTGGGCCTTCCCAGAACTAACATCCTGCTTTCTCTTTGGCCAGTGAGAACTCTTGGGACCTCTTGCTCTCATATCTCATGGTGTCTTCTCCAGCCTCCCTGCCTTCTCCCACATGTTGGTTTTCTTGTGAGCTTGGAGGACTTTAAACTGGAGGTTTTACCTGATTCTAAGGGGCAGGAGTGAAGGCAGAGAAAGAAGATGGAGGCGCTTGGCTGGCTCAGTTGGTAGATCATGTGACTCTCGATATCGGGATTGTAAGTTCAAGCTCCATGTTGGGTGTAGAGGTTACTTAAAACTAAAATTAAAAAAAAGAGAGAGAGATGGAAGACCAGTAGCTACATGAGAGTTTTATTTTAACCTAAGTCTCTTGGAGATTAATTTTTAGTGAAAATGTTTTGCGACCTTAAGTGTTGACACTGTGAACCTAAGAAAATACTTAGGAAAGCTATCCCCTTTCCCTCCCTCCTAATTCAGTGATAGGTCCTCTGAATTCTGGTCTTGATCTCTGTTGCCCTCTTCCTCCTCAATGCTATGAGAATTGTTGGTTATCATTGTATCCTTTTTGCTCCCTACCCTTCTCAGTGGCATTTCCCCCATTTGCCAGGTGAGAACGCAATGAGGGGAGGCTGAAGTTGCCTGCCACCAGGCTGTTAATCAGCATCTGTTTCTGGGATGGACCGCCCTCCCCATTTTGTTCTGCCTTTTGCAGCCTGAGTCGGTGGACATGAGCCAGAGTCCTGGAGAGCTCTGACACCAACTTCACTGTTTTCCTCCTGTCTCTCAGCAGACTCTTAGCTGCGTTTCCTCCTCCTCTGGGAAGCCGTTAAGATCATAGGCTTTGGAACTAGACCAACTTGGATTTGACTTCTGGCTCTCTGGCCATGGAAAGCGTGGTTGAATTGTGTCCCTCCAAAAAGATGTGTGAGGAGTGGTAACCCCTAGTACCTCAGTAAGTGTCCTTATTTGGAAATAGGGTCATTGCAGATGTAATTAGTTAAGATGAGGTCATCCTGGAGTAGGGTGGGCCCTGACCCAATATGGTGTTCGTATAAGAAGATGACCATGCGGAGACACAGAGACACACAGAGACTCCGTGTGAAGATGGAGGTGGAGATTGGAGATGAGATGCATCTACAGGCCAAGGAACACCGAGGCTTGCCCACCTTTACCAGAAGCTAGGAGAGTGCCATGGAGAAGATTCTTCCTCACAGCCCTCAGAAGGAACCAGCCCTGCCAACACCTTGATTTCAGATTTCTAGTTTCCAGGACTGTGAGGGAATCAACTTCTGTTATTTTGAGCCACGCTGTCTGTGATGCTTTGTTACAGCAGCCCTAGGAAACCAACACACAGGGAGTCACGTGACTTTTCTGAGCTTCAGTGTCCTCATCTGTAGAATTGGTATAACACACCCTGCATCATGTGACTGTGTGTGTGTGTGTGTGTCCATTGAGAGACAGTTTCTGCTTTCTCATTCTAGCCCTAACTAGCAGGGCTGATGTAGCTGACTGGTTCGCCCTCTTTGTCTTCCCCTTCAGCTGAGTGAGGAGTTGGATCAGGTGGTTGAGAACTCAGAGCGGGCGGACGAGCAGGAAAAGGAGACAGACAGAGTCCAAGGTCCAGGAGTCTTACCAGGTAAGTGAGTTCGGTGCTCGGTCACTGTCGGAACTGGAGGCCCCGGTCCGGGGGCCTTGCCATCTGGGTACCTGTGGAAGAGGGGGAGCCCCCCTGCCCTGTGCCCTGGTGTCCGGTCTCCAGTATTGCCCTCGTTTTAAAGCTATACATATTTAACCAGTCTGGGGACAGAGCACGTGTCCAGGCCAGGATCTGCTTTTTTCTGTGCTCTGGTTTGAGCCACTTTCTGAGGCCAGGCTGTTGGATACAATGGATCTCTGCTCTTCTGTTTGTTTTTCCCTAGGAGGTGGTTGAGCCTCTTAATATCTGAGTCCCTTACTTCCCAGGGCCCTCTAGTAGAATATCTAATAGGCCTCACCTCCTGGACATCAGGCCTCCCCAGGATCGTCATGCAGCCAGGCAAGCAGGGTCCCATCAGTCAGGCGGCATCCTAGGAAGTCTTACGGTCTTCCTCTTGGATACACTCTGCTCCCTCATGTGATGTCATTTGTAACACTTGACTTCCCAGACCACTTGCTCCTTCGGGCCTCCTTCACAGTCTCCTTCCAGCTCTTGGGTGCTAAATGTTTGTCAGAGGCCCGCTTGTCTCTCTGGTGTGCAGTCTCACCCGGGCCAACCTCCCTGCTTCCCGCAGTGCGTGCTCACGCGCGGCACCACGTTCACACTCCTAGCCTAGAGGTTACCTGTAAACTCCAGACTTACATATCCTGTATATCCAAATGCCCACTGGTAGCTCTGCTTGGGTGTCCCAAAGGTACCCTAAACCCAAAGCTGACCTCATGATTTCCCCCTCCCAGTGTGGCCCTCTTCCAGTATTTCCTGTTTTGGGGAATGGAACCCACCACCCATCCAATTGAACCAGAGAGTCATTTTCTTCCCCTTCCTTCCCTTCTTCCCCTTTCTGTCTGCCGCTCAGCCTCGCTGGCCTTCTTTCATTTAGGCCTCACTCCCTTCCACCATCTGGCCTTTTTGCTGTTTATCCCTCTGCCTGGAATTGTCTTCCCTCTGTCATCCAGTTAATGCTAATCGTTCTTCAGCTCTCAGCTCACTCACTGTTTTCTCCAAAACCTCTCTGACCTCCTGCGTACCTCTCTGTTGTAGCCATCCCTGATGGAGCGGCATGTTTGTTTGCCTGGCATTTGATGAACGTTGGTTCTGCTAGCCATGTAAGCTCCATGAAGGTTGACACTGGTTCGTTTTGCTCACCGTCTTGGCTCTGGCCATGCAAGAAAGATTTGTTGAATAAATGAATGAGCGAATGGGGCCTCAGCCTGACTCCCAACTTCTTGGGTGGATTGAGGGAGGTGGGATTCTCCTCTTGATCCTTGCATTTATAGGGGAGGGGAATGAGATAGGATCTTCTGTGATTGTGCCTAATCTTTAGAGAAGACTCTGTAGAAGGAAGGAGGCTGGAAGAGGAGCTGTTTACTGACTGCTTCCTCGGGCCCAAGCTCTGTCCTCCCCATTGCCCCATTTAATTTTCAGAGCTTTCACCTCCTGGGAGGTGGTCATCCTGATTTTGATGGATGAAGACCTGAGTCCCAGGGGAGTTAAGGAAAGTATGGAAAGATCACATGGCTGATAAACAGACCGGATCAAGTTCTGTCTGACCTCAAACTCTATTACACCAGTGCCTTTTAAGAAGTATTTTAAGCATTCTTTTATTAAAGCCTCTTGCGTAAAAAGCACGGCTGCCCCCACTGTGACTCTCGGCACTGCTTCTGAAGCCCTAAAGCCCCAGGGAGAGAACAGTACATTCGTATTTATTTGCATTAGCTCTGTATATTAGTTTCTGTTGTTTCTATAACAAATTACCATAAACCTAGTGGCTTAAAACAACACGGATTTATTGTCTTATAGCTCTGGAGTGCAGAAGTCCAAAATGGGTCTCACTGGGCTAAAATTAAGGTTTCACCAGGACTGAATTCCTTTCTGGAAGCTCTGAGGGCAAATCCATTTTGGTGCCTTTTCGAGCTTCTAGGGGCTGCTTACATTTCTTGGCTCATGGCCCTTTTTCCATCTTCAGAACCATCCGTGGCCAATTGAGTCTTTCTCAAATCTTACCATTCTGACACTGACTTCTGCTGCCTCCTCCCATGTTTAAAGAGGCCTGTGATTGTATTGGGCTCACCTAGATAATCGAGGAAAATCTCCTTGTTTTAAGGTCAGATGAGTGGCAGCTTTAACCCCACTGCCGCCTCAATTTCTCTTCGCCGTGGAACTTGACCTATTGATAGTTCCAGGAATGAGGAGTTGGACATCTTTGGCGGGTTGTTATTCTGCCTGCTGCACACCCTGCACTCTGCCCTCTTGTCCTCAGTCAGAAGAGGATGGATGGAGATGGCCGGACGAAGAAGAGAGAGGCCAGACTTGGAAAGATGAAGCATTCTTTTGTGTGTCCTCTTTGAAGTGCCAGGCAAACTAGGAAGTGGCTGTGATGACCTTTGGCCTTCGTTTCTCTTTTGCCTCAGATTCTTGGGGCCTTAAAGCGTGAGGTCAGTCCGAGCAGGAAGTCAGACCTCAGGCAGAGCAAATTTTGGGTAGTTCCGTGGCCTGGCAAGAGCCTCCCCTGCTTTCGGGGGACCCTTCTGGGTGCATCTCCTTTGTAGACCATAGAAGATCCAGACTCAGAAGTCTCAGTAGTGAGTTGGCCCGAACTTGATGACCTGATAGACAACTCTCAGAGCTCATTTCCTGCCTTCGAGTCCTCTAACAATAGTACAAATGGTAATGACGACAGAGGCTGCCATTTATTTATTGGGTGCTTTCACGTACTAGGCCTGCATAGGGCTTTGCATATATACTTACACATGTCATCGTGGCCACTCCATGAGGGAGATGGTTAGTCCAGAGGCACAGAGAGGTTAAGTAATGTGCTCAGAGCTTATTAGTAGCAGGGCTGGGATTTGAACCCAGGGCTGCCACCTGGGGTGTTCTGACTCTGGCTCAGTTTCTAGATCAGATGCTTTCCTGCTCCCAAGTCCTCCCCTTCTTCCACCAGTCACTTCCGGACTCCTTCACGTGTTACACCATGTGCTAAAACCACAAAGAGGGCAAATGAGGCAGGCTTTCAGGAGCTCAGGACATGTAGAGAGAGAAGGCAGTTTACCCAGAGAAGAACTTACCTCTCCTCCTATAGAGCCTGCCCTGAACAACCTGATGAAGGCCTTTTCTCCCTGTTAGGTGTTTTCCTAGCCCTCAGTACTTTTCCTTTGTAGAATTTAGCACAGTTGAAAGGGCACACTTATTGAATATAATTCTTTTTTTTTCTTAAAGCTTTTATTTATTTATTTGACAGATAGAGACACAGTGAGAGGGGACACAAGCAGGGGGAGTGGGGGAGGGAGGAGCAGGCTCCCTGCCGAGCAGGGAGCCCGATGCGGGGCTCGATCCCAGGACCCTGGGATCATGACCTGAGCTGAAGGTAGACGCTTAACCAACTGAGCCACCCAGGTGCCCCGGTTCTTTCCTTTTTTTTTTTTTTCCCCCCCTGAAGGCAGAGGGAGAAGGGGAGAGAGAATCCTCAAGCAGACTCTTTGCTGAGCGCAGAGCCTGATGCAGGGCCTGATATTACCACCCTGAGATCACAAACTGAGCCAAAATCAAGAGTCAGGTGCTTAAACAACTGAGCCACCCAGGTGCCCCTTGAATATAATTCTCTAATTAGTCATTACCAACCTCTTGGGCCTACCCCTGAGTTCTGTGAGGCACTCCCAGGACTTTGTCTTTTCCCCCCTTCATTGTAACTCTGATGCTTAGCTGAGCACCTGGCCCGCTGTGGGTGCTCATTATTTGTATTTATACTTTAGGAGGGGGACGTGGGGATTTGGAACAGGAATGTATATCATCTGAGCAATTGGGATGAATGATTGAGGGTCAAGGAAATGGTAGAGACAGGTGCTTCAGAAATGGACGAAAGGGGGCTGGTTAGTGAAGGAGGTGAGATTAACCGGAGGAGGGGTGCTTTCCTACACAGGCCAGTAAATGGTGGCTACTGTCATCGTTAGATGGAAAAGAAGGGACTGGCCAGGGAGGTGGGATGGCATGCGCAACCATGGAGAGTTCGGGATAAAAACAGGACATGTCGGAAACTGGGTAGCACCGTGTGGTCGGAGCAGAGAGTTGGCAAGAGAAGTAGAAGTGGATGAGGTGGAAGGACAGATTGGGTCAGATTAGGGAGGGCTTTGAGTGGCAGGGTTTAGCCTTTAGGGAGCAGGGAGTATTTAATGGGATTGGAGCAGAGCAGTAAGAGGGGTAAGTGGTGGTGCTACTGGGCTGGGTCAGAGGCGGCGTGGTAGGCTGCTTTGCTGTCAGGGAGCAGGAGAAGGAAGACTCGGGCTTGAAGCGGGGTGCGTGGGAGAACGTAGACATACAGACATACAGTCCGGAGGGGTGAGCAGCCCGAAGAGAAGGTGCTCCTGTGCTGCAGACACATGAAGCTTCAGTGGATGCGATGTGTCTGGGCTGACAGGGCCCAGGGGCTGAGAGAGCTGACGACTGGCGTAGTGCAGGTGGGAGCCTTGAAGAAGGCCTGGGACCACGTGTAGAGGCAGCTCTGAAGGCTGAGCCTCGAGGAATGGCCACATTTGGGGGCCAGAAGAGGAGGTAGAGCCGGAGCCCCATGGAGGGCCTGGAGCTGGGAGCTGCAGCACAGGCGGCTGGTACTAGGATGCTGGGCCTGCTGACACTGGGCAGCACAGGGTCAAGCTAAGCACCCAGACGTTAAGGATTATACTGCCCATTTTACCCTCTGAGAGAAATCATTCCAATCCTTAATCTGAGAGCTTTAGTCTGTTTGCTCTCCGTCAAAGGAATCACAACCACTTATTCTCTTCAGAGGGAGAAATGAGACCAGATATGCTAACTGAATAAGCAGTTTATTATATCACAGTTGAAATAAAATTGAGGAAGGCACTTGGCTAGTTAGTCATTACAGTCAGTTCTCCATGGAAACAACTGTATATTAATAGAATTGACAAAGATCAGCAACCAAAGGACAAAATACATTGGATCTCCTCAAAATGAAAAACTTTTGTGCATTAGAAGACAGTACCAAGAAAGTGAAAAGAAAGCCCACAGGATGAGAGAAATTTTCAAATCATATGACTGATAAGGGATCTGTATTTAGAATATATAAAGAACTTTTATAATCCAATAATAAAAGGACAACACAAGTAAAAAATGGGCAGAGAATCTGAATGTTTCTCCAACACAGATGACTGATAAGCACATGAAAAGATGCTCAACGTCATTTGTCATCAGGGATATGCAAATCTAAACCACAGGGAGATGTGTATCATTGTGTAGCCTTCACTCCTATAAGGATGGCAGTAATCAGTCAGATGGGCAAGTTTGGGTGAGGAGGTAGAGAAATTAGGAACCCCCCCATAGATTGTTGGTGGAAATGTAAATGGTAAAATTTTTTTAGTGGTAAGATGTGATGGTGTCTTGTTTGAGAATTGGAGTGCCACGACATGTGCTACTGGGGAAAACAGTCTGGCAGTTCCTAAAAGTTTAAATATAGAGTTACCATGGGACCCAGCAATTCTACTTCCAGGTATATATCCAAGGGAAGTGAAAACTCATGTCCACACAAAAACTCGAACATGAATGTTCATAGCAGCACTATTTGTAATAGCCAAAAAGTGGAAGCAACCCAAAGGTCCATCAGGTGATGAATGGATAAATAAAATGGTATATTCACACAATGGAGTAGTATTTGGCAATAAAAAGGAATGAAAAACCGATACATGCTACATCATGGATAAATTTTGAAGATACATGTTAGGTGAGAGAAAAGTCAAAATGAAAGGTCACAGGTTGAGTGATTTCAGTTATGTGACCTGTCCAGAAGAGGAAATCCGTAGAGACAGGAAGCAGGTTATTGGTTGCCAGGGACTAGGAGGAATGGAGGAGTGACTCCTGATGGGTATGGAGTTTCTTTTTGGTTAATGAAAACATTCTGCTAATTACATAGTGGTGATGGTTGCACACCTTGTGAATATACTAAACATATATTCATTTTAAAGTGGTAAATTTTATGGTATGTAAATCATATCTCAAAAACCCCACAAAAACAAACCCACCACATCACTAAAAAGGAAAAAAAAAAGTTCATTCCTTCTTTGCATTCAGAATGCATTTTGGCCCTGGGCTGTTTGCAAGGTAGAGTTTTGCAGGGTTGCAGTGGACAACCAGTTCCCCCTACCTGGGAATAAAGGTCCCACTGTTTTCAGAAGTTGAATGACTCGTCACACATCCCCTTACATTCTGGGGCAAATCTGGGTTTTGGAAGCAGTGCTGTCCTGGATTTTGTAGAACTCATAGATTTCCTTTCCCAAGAAAATCTTGTGCATTATTTTTGACTGTCTACTGTCATGGGTTTGCATTCATATAAAGGATGTATACTTTTATTTTTTTTAAAGATTTTATTTATTTGACAGAGAGACACAGCAAGAGAGGGAACACAGGCAAGGGAGGGTGGGAGAGGGAGAAGCAGGCTCTCTGCCGAGCAGTGAGCCCGATGTGGGGCTCGATCCCAGGACCCTGGGATCATGACCTGAGCCAAAGGCGGTTGCTTAACGACTGAGCCACCCAGGTGTCCTGGATGTATACTTTTAAAACACAACCAGCTTGCCCCAGAA